TAATTCGTTCTGGAGGTCTGTTCTTAACCTGAAACTGTTCTTAACCTGAAGCACCACTTTAGCTACTGGGGCCTCCCGCTGCCGCCGTGCCGCCAGAGCACGATTTCTGTTCTCATCCTGAAGCAAAGTTCTTAATCTGAGGTACTATTTCTGGGTTAGCAATCTGAAACGTCTGTAACCTGAAGCCTCTGTAACCTGTGGTACCCCTGTATTCCTATCCACATAAAAATATGCATCTGTGTTGGCTGGTCATGTAAGCTTGGCCTTCTTTGCTAGATTCAAGCCGTGGTGTATAATGCCCTAAAACATACACCTAAGGCATGTCATGCGCTCTGTCTCGTTCTTACACACACACAGGATCACAAATACATCAGATAAGTAAATTTAAAGTTTAAGCCCACTTACTCGTCTCCTCACCGCCCCAACAAGAAAAAAAACTTCTTAAGGCATCTGTAAAGCAATGCATTTTATTACCATGTCTCATTCTCCAGATTAATTGAAGTCTTCTATTTATGCAATTAAAATGCCTCAGCACGAGGCAATAGTTATATCATTTTACATTACAATAGTCTCTTTCATTGACAAAAAAAACCCCTCCTCTGGGCTGCATTTACCAAATCCCCATTTTTTAAAAGCTTGGGAATTCTTAAACACCCATGTTAAGCTATGAACAGAGATAGAGCATAACCACGCATTCTCCTCTGTCTCTCTTTTTTACACTGTACAAGTTTCACCAGCACACTTTAAAAGTGTCCAATACTGTTGGTATTTTCAGATATTTCTACTAGCACTTTTAAAAGCAGCAAACCAGGACTTTCGCACAAAGCATGTGGAAAAGGCACCATATTCGGTGGTGAGCTAGCACTTCATAGCACAATTGATTGGGCCTCTAGGTACCAAAAGAGTTGTGTGGTCAAAAATCAAGTTATTCTCCATGGCTTGTTGAACATATTTAAAAAGGGATCTGGAATCACTATTCTGTGCCTTGGCCAAATAATTTACAAAGTAATTAAGCCTTCTAATTTACTGAACCACACCTGCCTGCATATAATAGAATGAACCTATTTTAATATTCAAGGGTAGACAATGTTATTAAATAACTACATGTTTAAATGAATGATAAAGCAATGAATTTCCTAGAAGGAAAACATATGAATATATGAAACTAAAGTATGTCAAATCAGGCCATTAATTCATATGTGTGTGTGCACACGCAAGCGACACCAGTGATTCATATTTCCTCATTTCCAAGAATCCTTGTTATCTGGGGAGCTTCTTTCCCATGGAACCCTTGTATGTTGAAGGGAATTCTGAGGGATTGTCTTGGAGAAAATACTGGGCTCATGTGCACTGGTTAGGTCTTCTGGGCTTCATTGTCATTTCACCAGCACAGTCAATGCTCTCTTGTGTTGGACATGGCTGGTTATGGAAGATTGGTGGGCAATCTAACTTTCAGTGAAATTAGACCACCATTACAGTGGTACCACAGGTTAAGAACTTAATTTGTTCTGGAGGTCCGTTCTTAACCTGAAACTGTTCTTAACCTGAAGCACCACTTTAGCTAATGGGGCCTCTCGCTGCCGCTGCTGCGCAATTTCTGTTCTCATCCTGAAGCAAAGTTCTTAACCCGAGGTACTATTTCTGGGTTAGCAGAATCTGTAACCTGAAGTGTATGTAACCCGAGGTACCACTGCACTGATCTTCTCATTGCAGGATACCTGGGACACCTAAGCAGAGGAACTACAAGGTTCTCTGGATCAGGATTTGAAAGCCACTTGTTACTCTGACTGCTGTCAGCTCTCCAAAGTCTCTGGTGAGTATTCCTCAATCCTGCAATCTGAGATCTTTCAATGGGAGGATGCCCAGAATTGAAACTGGGACCTTCTGCACACAAAGTATGTGATCAGTTTGGATCATTTAAATCACAGCCAAGTACTCTATTGATGTCAGTCAAATTTTAAATGCAGCCACAGTGTGGTCCAGTCTGAAGCCATTTAACAATTATGGGCTAAAGCCCACCAAGCACAGATATAACCTAACCTCCACTTGCTTCAACAAGGCTTTAGTGAGCATAAAAGCCCAGTGAAAGAAATGGGCAGGGTGGGAGTTGCACTGAATTCTGCCTATATAGGACTGAAAATTGTGCCTGCAGTGAAAAAGCATGGTTAACTGGTGAATTTTGCCTATAGTCTCTGTCTTTGTCCTTTTGATTCTTCTCAGTAGCATCTCAAGGAAAAAGGGTTTCATTGGGGAATGTTGGATGGAAGGCTAATTTCCCTACTTCAGCACCTTGCTTTCTCATTCTTCCCTTCACAATACCCAAATCACGAGAAGTAGTCTGCAAATGAAATTGGGAGTGGGACATGGGGAACACAGCAGCAGGAGTGGAAGAGGCTTTCATGTAGAGGTCAGGCCTATCATCTTTGAAATAAAAAGAGCATACATGTGCTTGCCTTTTGTGTGACTCATCTACGATTTGTGGCATGCTCCTAGTTTGTAGCAGGAGTGGCATTGCGTGGGCAAGCTTTGGGTTCACAGACATTGTTTGTAACAAACTTCAGGATATGGAAGCACGGTTTACTGCTTCAGATATTGGCTGATTTGCATAGTTAAGCCAAACTATGGTTTACTGGGACCATGTCAATATGTGGGGACTCAGAGAAGAGCTTGCAGCCACTTTGTTCCTCCTTAGTCTTTTTTACCCCCACCCCATGCTGAACTAGAGTAAACCAAAGTTTGGCTTAGTGTGTTGTCCAAACACAGGGTTGTGGTTAAGCTCTCTCACTAACTATGAGCTGCAGCCAAGGTTCATTCATGCTACAGAATGTGATTAGAGCTTAACCATGAAGCAACCCCGTTTAGGGAAGTTTTTAATGTTTGATGTTTTATCGTGTTTTTAATATTCTGTTGGAAGCTGCCCAGAGTGGCTGGGGAAACCCAGACAGATGGGCAGGGTATAAATAATAAATAATAGATGATGATGATGGTGATGATGATGATGATGATGATGATGATGATAAACCTTGGCTTAGCTTAGTGCAGGAGTAAATAAATAATAATAATAATTGAGGAGCAAAGTGGACTTGTGAGCTCTTTTGCAGGAGCCTACATGTTCACACAGCCCCAATAAGCCATAGTTTGGCTTACCATGTTGTGCAAACCAGGCCAATGCCTGAAGCAGTAAAATGTGCTTCCAGATACTTCAGTTTGCTGCAGCCACTGTCCATGAACTCAAGGCTTACACATGCAACCCCAACCCTGCTATGAGTTAGAAACACATTTTGTTTAGTGCAAACAAGGCTGATGTGTTGAGGCAAGTGTGTGTGTGTGTAAATAATTTCTAGTAGATACATATGTTAAGAGGACCCAGACCATATCAATATTTTCTTGTTACCCATTCAGCTCTTGAGTAGCATTCAGAGGAACTCAATCCAGCTTAAGGCTGCTGGGACTTGGACGTGTGAGACGATTGCCTCGATTTATAACTTGCTGCTTGGGGAAGGTTGAGGGAAACTCTGGGTTGGTGGCGGTGGTGGTCTCACTGCCACTGCCTCACCCCACCCCATCCCTGCCCCTCACACCTGACCTCATCAACTCCTTTCTACAAACTTTCCTTTTGAATGCAGCCCCAAGTCACCTTATAATGCTTCTGTTATAAGACAAAAGAAAGTACTTTTTCATACCACACACCATTAATGTATAACATTCACTATCACAACGTTTGTTGATGGCTGCTAGCACAGAGGGCTTTGAAAGGGGAATTCAGCAGATTAATGGAGGATTGTTTTGCCAATGGCTGTACAACAGCCTCAATTTTCAGCAACAGTGTACTGTTGAATATCACCTGACAGCAACTGTGGAAGAGGCTGTTCCCTTCAAGACCTTCTTGTACACTTCCTGAATGCATCTGGTTGGATGACGTACTAGGTGGACTTTTTATGTCCACATTCCCTCAACCTGGTGTCCTCCATATATTTTGGTCTACATTTCCCATCATCCCTGATCATTGGCCATGCTAATGGGAATTGATGGGAATTAGAGTCCAACTACATCTGAAGGGCATCAGTTTGGGGACAGATGGCTTACGTTTATTCATTTGTTTCATAAAATTTATATACCTGTAGATCGTAAGGAGTGGGGGAAACCCTCAGAGTGGTTTATTCTTTCAATAATCCTGCACTGGAAATACATTTTAAAATAATACACGACTTCCGAACTTTCCAGTGCACAAAGTATTTTTGAACACACTGAGTTTGCCTGTTACCATGAATGTTAACTAAAAATAGACTAGTTGAGAAAGTTGAGGCCAGCTGGGATACAGAAGCCTCAGTCCACCTCCCACACCTCTCTCATCTTGTCAGCAAAGGCAGAATAGGCAGAGAGAAAGTTGGATGGTGCCCAATTATCAGGAAGATCTTATTATCTTACTTCCATTCATTCACTGCAAGGGCTGTCCACATAGAGGTGGGACTTGCAGTATATCTGGAAGATGGCAAGTGGGATCCGTGAGATGACTCACGGTTTTTGCACTTCCCATTCATTTAGCTTTCAAACCACAGAGAATCCAGTGATACTTCCTTTTGAATTACCTTTTGGACAAATCTTTTTAGCTCTTGCTTTTGGGTCTCATGCTTTTAACCGCTGAGAGTAATTCCATTAGTACTTCAGGGAGTTCTTACAGAGGGACACACTATTAATTCAATCAAGTTGACTTATGTGAATATAAAAGCAAGCTGTGGTGTGTGGTGGGGGCACCTGCTTGGTGGTCCAGGCCTGGTTTTGATCTCAGAGATTTTGATTTCAGTGAAAGTCCACAAAAAATGGGATTTCACTGAATCGAAGCATGACCATGGTGCCTTTGTTCCTTCAGAATGAGGTAAAATCTTGCTAATAAACAATTAAGATTTGTCTGTGAACATATGAAAGCATCTGTCCTTCTGTACTCCCACCACAAGGAAAACAATGCACATATCCTTGATTATTTGCTAATAAATTATTCTTCAAGGACTTGGTAGCTCCTCATTCTCTACTAGGTAATCTTTCTTCATATAATTAGCCCCCCTAACCAACCTCCATACTCCAAGGTAGGCATCCTTTAATGAGCTGTTGGTAACTGCTTCAGAGTTGCCACCATCAGTGACAATGGGCGCATTTCCTTGTCCCACTATGCTGTCCTTCTCCTCTGTGCTTTGCTGGTCGCTTCCATTTGCTGACTCCTCCATTGGTGTCTCCCCATGCTCTGTGTCCTTGGAGATCTCCTCCATTACTAAAGGTGGCTGCTCTCCATCACATTCTTTCTTCTCCTCTTCCCTCATTTCCTTCTCCAAGTCTTCATAATGACTCTGCTTTCTCGTTTCCATGTACTTGGCCACACAATAAATGATGGAACCTATGGTATTTACCACCACACCAGCTATAAACAGCTTTGTAGGCTCCACGTCGCTAAAAGCCACCATCCCGACCGTGATGGTTGCGATGCTCTTCACGACCCCAACGAAACTGGTGGTTACAGCCGAGTTGATGTAGGTGCAGTGGAGAGTGGTAAAATTCATGGCACAGCCAATCACGACACACACAATAAAGGTGCAGGTCATGGCAGGATCTTTCCATCCTGGGAAGGACCAGACATTGATGGCATCCATGCTGGCAAAGGAGAGGATGATGAGAAAAGGTGTGGCAGAAACAGCAATGGCATACTGGGCCGTAAGGGGCCCATAGTCACTATCTGCACTCGTCTTTTGAATGAGTACCAAATAGGCTGCGTGCACCAGCACAGCCAGCACTCCAGTCAGATACCCAATAGGATCACCAGTCAGGTCACCCGCACCTGCCAATTTTGAAAGAAAGAGAAAGAAACATGCATTTACATGCCAGGATGTAGGGACTCTGCCTATAGCAACATTTCAGAGAGATCACGAGTCTAGTTCTGCAGGATCATCCCTCTTTTCCTACAGCAGGCGATAAGGTCAGTGCCAGAGCAATTGCAGCAGTAGCAATGAGTAAGACTTTGAATCTCAGGCCGTTTGCCTTGAGCACAAATGCAAGATTTCACAGGGGTCTCTAATGTTCATATTCAGCCCTCATTTAAATGAATTTTTAGCAAGTAACTACCCACAATGACATGCAGAAGCCCACTTGTTACATTCATTCCTATAATGCTTTGAATAGAAAGAGCTTGAATTTACTCAGCTGGATATGTAATATTGTAGAGCCGATATCTGCTTGCATTCCCTTTGAGGGAAACAAAAGGATTGACGGTGCGGTGTTTGACAATAGCTTAGTTTGAGGCACCATGACAGAGCAGTCATTGCTTGTTTTTACACGTGGTTAGGGTTTTTGTTCTGAGTTTCACCAGTCAAAACAGTTTTGCATATTTGTGTAGCCCAGAAAAGCCAAGGGTAGCAGGTGATTTGGCTACCACTGCAAAAGATATACACACCTTTTTTTTAAGATTATAGGGTACACCTGCTGGATATGGTCTCGGATGAATGCACTGCACCCCTTCCAACTCCCAAAGCACCCTTAAAGCTGCTTTTAAATATTATAAATAGATTGTGATGGTAACCTATTCACAAATACACTCCTGTAGATTTGTTTTAAAAATTATCCTTTGAAGTTAAACCAAATCCCCTGTCACCTGTGCCAGAAGATGCTTGTCATCTCCTCTGGTAAATTTTAACACTCCCTCAATTTGTATGAACTTGAGCAAAGAAGTGTGGCAAAGAAGTAAGAAAACATAGTGAACAAGCTTCTTCCTCTCCCTGCAACAAGGTTTCTCTCTCCCCATCTCCTTCCCCTGTGATTGTACAGTGATCAAGGTACTTATGCCAGAAGAGGAAGCTGTTCCTTTTCCTCCACAGATAAGAGCACCTGAACACACTCTGGGTCATCCAATTAATACAGAATATAGCCCAGCAGCCCATGTTAGTTAGCTGTCTGTGACTGAATCCTTCTCGAAGTGAGTGGGGAGGAAGTCCAGCGCCTGGTCTAGCAGAATGAGCAGGAGGGTACTCAGATGCAGCAGGGCTGCATTTCCAGATTGTGAGGTGAATAAAGGTCCACATTACCATCTAAAGAGCGCTGCCCCCTTAAAAGCACTAAGTCCAGAATCCAACTTTGGCCAACTGCACTACTGCCTTCTATGGAAAGCAGACACAACTTGAGCAATCTGTCTCTAGATAACACCCTTTCACGAACAAACAAATAGGGAAAAATGGCACAAATATTTATATAGGGGAAAAATATAGAAGTTAAGTTACTGACTGTCATTGTATCATAGTGATTTTATGTAAACTGCTTACAGGGCTTGATGATTAAGTGGTACATAAATGCTCTTAACTAATAAATAAAATAAAATAATATCCAGATCTCTTTGTAGGGCAAATATTTCTTCATTTGTGTGCTTCATTCTTTCATATCCTTTTAAACTAAGCAAGAGTTTATTTCCAAGGTGAGGGAAAATATGACACCCCACTTTGTTTAATAACCAGATAAAAAGACATTGGGAATTGCTGGTTAATTATTCTATCTGCACAGTTCTTGCAATAGCTAAAGCATTATTTTTTTTAACTCAGTCATATTCATCCCAGCTTAACTATCCTTGAGGATTCAGAACTTGTTCTCACTTCTGAACATGCATATACGTATACATGAATTCTGGCAATCCAGTTATTCCTAAATAGAATTTACCCCTGTCTATTAATGGCACTGGTAATAGACTTTAATTATAGACTGTAGAGACAGTGGCACTGCCTGACGGATCCATAATGTGGATTTTCTCGAGAGTTTTTCCTCATCCTTAACAACAGCTGCCATGTGACAGACAAGCCAGGCAGCTGCAAATAAAATGGGGCTAGCGGAAGAAGAGGGCTTGGGGGAAATCAGCTGGGCCACTTCAGACATGACATTTCTCCTGCATGGAGATAATCCCCATAAAGGAAAAATCACGTCCATGGGTCATGCATAGAAAACACAGGAGTGCAAATTTGACTGACGACAGATGTACTGCAGGTGTACTCAATTGTACATATTTTGCTTCTTACATGGAGGTGATCTACCTGTGTGTTTTTAGTTAGAAAGAGCCTTCACTGAACTCTTTATTATAGAGAAAATGAGTATTTTAAAAAATTAGAAAACCCATGACATAGGGGAAGGGGGTGGTAAGTTGTGATGGAAGGGGGGGCAAGTTTGGGTTAGAACCTTGGCAGCTTCGGACATAGTTTGCATTTATGCAAACAGTGCACATACATGTGAGAATGGCAGACAGATGTGTACCCTGACATAAAACTAGCCATGTCAGGGAGCTCATACTGTGTGAAGCCGCCCTGAGGCAGCCTCTGCTAATGAGCAGAACTGTATTCTTGAGTGTAGAAGAGGAAGGATGAGACAAGACCCTGCCACTGGGAGGATGATGGGACAAGGAGTCATGGGAGAAGGAGCAGTGGTAAGAGTGTGGAGCTATGAACTTTGTGAGGTACTACTAATCTTCATATAATATTGGCTGAGAAGATACTGATGACTTTACTGGGGTGTTTTGAGGGGTGGAGATGGAATGGGAATTGGTTGAGGCTTGTAAGTGTGGAATAAAGTATTTGAGGGGATGGGAAGAAACTACATTACATGTTTTTACATCTCTATCTTTTCACCCACCTTCCAACCTTTATAGTCACTTTATTAAGGACTGGACAGTGATATTAGGCTGAAAATATATTATCATAAAAATATATTTAAGGGGTGGGAAAACTGCTGTGTTGAAGGTTGGTGTGGAAACATGATGTAGGTTGAGGCGAGCTCTAGAGATGATCAGAGATGTAATAATAAAAGCTAAGGAAGCGTGGAAGGAGGTAAGATAGAGGTGGCATGAGGGTCGCAGCAGGAGTCAGTGGGAATCCAAGCGAAAGACCAGAGTGGAGAGAGAAAAAGGACGTGGTGGGTGATGGGGCTGATGAGTCGGGAAGTGATGGGGTGAGGAAAGGACAGAGTGGGAGGTGATGTGGCTGCGCTGGGCATGCCAAGGAGCTGGATATGAAGGGGGGAGGGGGCGATGAGAGGGGACTAATGGAAGGAACGAGGCAGGACAGGGTAGAACCCGCAGGATCCTGGTGAAATGAGCCGTGCGGACCGAGGAGGAGCTGTGGCGAGGCTTCCCTCTCTCTCCATCACTCACCTGCCAGAGCCGCCCCGCAGGTGGTGATGAGGACGGCCACCAAGACCCCGACGGAGGGGATGCCGTTCTTGAGCACCAGGACGCCGATGAGGAGGGTGACGAGGGGCAGGCAGCGCTTGAAGACCACGTACATGGGCAGGCTGAGGCCGCGCAGGGACCAGAGGGTGAGGCTGGACTGGAGCGTGGAGAGCAGCGTGACCCCGGCGAAGAGGCGCGCCAGGCTGAGGCCGAAGGGCGGCATGTCCAGGGCGCCCCGTCGCCGCAGCACCTCCAGGCTGAGCGCCGCCGTGGAGCTGGTCAGGCACTGCAGCAGCGTCAGGAAGGCGAAGTGGTAGCGGGTGATGAGAAACTTCAGCAGGATGTTGAGCGAGCCCGAGAACACCCCGTGCGCCACCGCCACCGAGATGCCCAACGCGCGGCCCCGGCACAGCTGCATGGTGCGTCCTGCGTCCTCCTTCCTTCCCTCCCGCCGGAGCCGGTGCTACCTTCCCGGCGGCTGCTGCTGCTGCTGAGGACGCCGCGATCGCCCGCCCGCCCGCCCCTCGCCTGGCGCTGCTGGAGGGCTCCGCGCCGAAGCAGCTGCGAGGCTGGAAAGGGCAACTTTGCTGTGCGCCAAGAGCGCGCGCGGAGGACGGACTGGACGGGGACAGTGATCAATAGGGGCGGGCGGGAGGGGGGACGGGATCCGCGGGGAAATGCCTCTGCAGGCTCGGGAACCTGCTGCCTACACCATCGCCCAGCAGCTCCTCTTGCTGACGCAGAGGGGGGCTGGCTGCCCGGGCGCTTCCCATTACCTTAATTAAATGGGAACAATTGGAGTGCATTGGCCGCGCTTCCTTCTTGACCCGCGTGAATCATGGATTCGCTTTGTTCCTGGAAGAAAAAGGGAGGAGGAGGAGGAGCGGGGCTGAATCAAAAGACCGAGGGGTAGGTGGAATCCCCCCTCCACACCCTTCCAACTGCCACCCCCCCCAACCTTTATCTTTAAAAAGGAGAGAGAGGAATCCTCATTAAGTTTTGTCTCTCCTTCCAAGCGAAAACAAACAAACCAGTCCTGGCGTGCCTCGTCGAATATGTCAAGCAACCCACACACAAAGCCCAAAACACAACTTCCAATTTATAGGTTAGGCTTTTCCGTGCAGTTCACTTACGCTAATGGAATAGGCATCCATCCTTATTGAATGAATGTTGGGTAGGGTCCTTTATAAGGCAGTACAAATATTGATCCAGTCTTGCGCCTGGTCGCTTTTCTGCAATCGACAGAAAGAAACAGGTGCCTCGAAAGCAGCAGCAAAGAGTTAACCCTTCACGGGGAGGTGTGCGCGTGTTTGGAGTCTCAGTGCTTCGGCAAATTATCAATGAATGCACCACAAAGCTTAAGGTAATTAAATAATGCGGTGATTTCTGAATAGCATATTATCTCTTTTAAAAAAAAATAACGCTTTGAAATTTCACCACAGAAGAAAACCAATTGCCAATGTATGAGCAGGAAGAAGGGAAAGTGCCCAATGGGAACTTTGGAGTTGGGAAGGATCTTAAAGGAAGCAGCCGACTGGAGATGCCCTGAGCTGCAACTACTACATACACCACCTCCAGGATGATCCCGGCAAACCCTACGTGGAACTCCCAGCCCAAACATCCACAAGCGCGCAGCCATAACAACTCAGCAAGCCACCTAAGCGCGTCTGGGAAATGACTCCGCCTGACACCTGCCATCACCCAAAGGACTGCTTGAAGAAGAAGAAGAAGAAGAAGAAGAAGAAGAAGAAGAAGAAGAAGAAGAAGAAGAAGAAGAAGAAGAACTGGGGGAGGATGTGGAAAACTTATCGCGATCTCTCTACTCTCTTCCCCGCTTTTTTTCTTTTTTGTTTGCAAAGGACTTTGAAACGGAAACAAGAAGCGAGAAGATTACGCACGGATATTAAAAGATCCATTTTCCAAGCGCATGGGGTAAGACCAAGAGGTTAATTTTGAGCTACTTCTACGCGATTATTTGAACAAACAACCCCCTGCACAGATTTGTACATTTTCTAATTATGCGAATACGGTGGACAGTCAGCGTCTAGGACTTTCTTCGGTGATGTGCTGCCCAATCATGTGCATCATTTCTCGCTTTGTTCCGTGGGCTTTACTTAGATAAGAAGGTGAAACTGAATATCCTCCTAAATCGAGGATCCTGTGTCTAGTTTTAGTCCCCTAGCAACTGATACTAAGGGCTCCGTTGGGTCTGCGCATGGCTAACAGCCTCAGATAGACCTGGGCTCTATTATACCTTTTCCAAGCGGTCTAAGCCTTAGTCGCTAATAAAGCATTGGGCAGGAACGCCGGTCATTCCCCCAACCCACTTCGTCAGTCAGGATAGGGCCACACCTTGAGCGGGGAGAGGAGCAGCCTCCACACTGAACTCCCCTCCTCTTGCTTGTTGCACGCTAGTTGTGGGTGAATCACAAACCCTGGCCTGCGAAAAATGTGGTAGACACCACCAGGGCAAAAATATGAAAATACAAATAATTGAATTACTGTATTGATGCATTACTACATTTATTAATATCATTGTGCTGTTTTCTGTGAAGAGCAGTTCTGACTTCTAATCTGGTCCAGCAGCCTGTTCTTCGCAGCTGCCAGCTAGATAGATAGATGCCTGTTGGGATCTTGTACCTATTTTGTATGCTGCCTGGATAATTTTACTGATGGGCATCTACATAAATTTAAAATAAAACAACTACTCTAAGCATGTTAAACAAATTGCTTTTAAATTTCACTAATTTACTATTTCATCCTTAGGACTTACAAGTCTAGCTACAGGCCTGACAGCAGAGATGGGGACATCCTTAATGACCGGCTACAAAATTCCATTAACTCATGCCCAAAACTTTGTACAGTTTTAAAAAGTTGTGATGATAATGTTTTAAATTTATAAGGTAGAATGTTTCCTAGCAATACCACTCATCCCCTTTAAACAAATGATGCAGCAAACATATAATAGTTTGCAGCCCCCATTGATTCAGCAAGAGCTGCTAGTCACCATGAGATATGGGGGAGGGGTTTTTTCCTTTGTGACCCAGGGACCAAATACAGCCCTCCAGGCTTGCCTGGCTCTCAAGACTCTCCCTGGGCCAAGGATGGGGAACCGGTGGCCCTGCAGATGTTGTTGGACTCCAACTCCCATCAACTCCAGCCAGCATTACCAATGATCAAGGATGATGGGAGTTGTAGTCTAGCAACATCTGGAGGCCTGTAGGTTCCCTATCCCAACCATTATCTTATTCCCCAAGTCGTATCCCTTACCAGCCTTACTCCACGTCCTCCATTATTTTATTTTCCTGACCAGAATATGTCCTTGTGAATGCCCCTTGCTTGCCCAGATGGAGACTTGTGTCCATGTGTATAGAAAATTATTATTTTTCCATGGCTGGAATTTAGCCAACTGTACAGAGGCAAGAGTCACACCCACTACGTCTGCCTCTGGTCCCACACATCACTGGCCTCTGGGGAATTCTGAGCTTCTGGCTGAAAAGAGGTCCCGTCGCCCCCACTCTAAGAGATAGCAACTTGGTTCAGAGTCACCTTGCGGTTCTCATGGCTAAATGGAGATTTGAATTCATTTCCCTTTCTCCAAATCCAACATTCTGTCTGCTACATCATGCCTCTCTTGATATGATTTGTTTTAAATATTGTTAGCATAACCTTAATGCACGTTCTGAATTTCCTCACTATGATTTCACGCTTTTGTGACCATGCTGGGGATTATGGGATGGACAAGCGTGTTAAATGTAGAACAGAATGAAGAGCACCAGCACACCAATTCTAGATAAGATCTTGAATGAAAACAGGAGACACTGCTGCCAGTTACCATTAAATTGCATTAAGGGACCCAGTGGAGGGGCTGATAATCTCTTTTCCTCTGAAATCTCAATTTCATGGTGATGCTGGTGGAAGAAGACCCAGGCATACGCATGGACATGCACACACGCAGCAAGGAGGCCAAAAAAAGGCTCTAGTTCTACACTTCTTTATAATTTAATCATTGACATTAATCACCCTTATCTGATCAATCCGTTTGCAGGAAAATAAAAGTTTGCTGAGCTTCCAACAACAAATATAATGTAACAGAAAGTAACATGAAACACACACACACACACACACAACAACAACAACAACAACAACAACAACAACAACTGAAGATTGGGGGGACACACACACACACACACACACACACACAGCACACAGGTTTGGCCCTGACATTTCCCACAAATTTTGCTTTGTGATGGATTTTGATGGTGCTGGGTTGCTTTAACAGTTTATTATTTTATGAGCCCCTGCCCCACCCCATGAAGGAAGTAAATAATGTACATTCAAATTGGGACCTGTGGTTTGCTGATGCATGGAGTCATACAATTTTCCAGGATATTCCATTCTTTCCTCCCTTTCCTTTGGTTTCCATTCCCCTTCAACCCATCAGTCAGCATTCCATGGTCACTGAGCATGCTACGTCTTCAGTGGCTTGTTTTGGGGATTTTCTACCACCAACCAACCTTATGCAGGAGGGGTTGTTTCTTTCCCCTCCACCACCACAAACTTTCAAGCCTGTTGTTGCTTCCCTCTTGTGCCTGGATAATGCCATTTTGGCTACTTAAGGACCAGCACTTCGGAGAAAGCGTTTGCTATTAGCATAGAGGATGCTGTGGAATTTGGCACAGTAAATGAGACCGTTTGGGATGTTTATTCTTGTCCCCAGACAAGGACAGATACAATAAAACCTGTGCCACTGGAGATTCCTGAGCAAAAACTGGCCAAAGTTTCTGAGAGGGGAAAAATTAAGCAGCAGCGGCTGCAACAGTGGCTCACCATGTCTCACTTCCAAGCAGATCGCCAGGAAAATTAGCTACTGCTTAGGGACATATGCTGCATAAATTGAAGGAATCAAGGCACAAGGATATTGTTAGGGGGTGGTCTGAGCCCCAAATCCTTCACACTGGGCCCTGGATACCCCCCTCAGCCCCTTTAAAAAACTTTTAATATTTCAAAGTTTTGCTTACAGGTCAGTTTCCCCTAAGGTGGCATCCATACATATAAATTAGCACACGTAGATTTTAAGCATGTGTGTTATAGGCCTGTTGTCAGTCTTTTAAGGACCTAGAAATGCCCCACAGGTCATACACATGACAAAGAATGTTTTGGAATGGAAATTTCACAAGGGGGAAAGTGTGAAGGCATCACATTCTTTCAGGTTCATGTTCACAGGTATTACCTGCCAAAACTTCACCAGATTTTCTTTCCCGTGGCAAGATTTTTTTCAGCCACATTCACACAGATCATTCAATCACATTCCACTGAGAGATTTTCTTGCTCTTATTGCATGAACTGGTCAAGAAAGAGTGGGTGGTGGTTTAGACTGAAGGACTTCAGAGCAGTTTCCTAAGGAGCGGGGTACAA